AGTCAATAGATCCATTAATGAAGGTAACTTCGATGGTTCATCAGGCCTCGGGGAGAAGGTGCCTAAATTTGGGGAAGCAACGTTCGGCATGCTGGGGGAATGAACAGGATTTGGGGATCCGACAGGAGAGGGGACGTAGAGGGCCTGCATTGAGGTCGAAGTGGTAAGAGATCCAGATGTCGATTTTACTACAGCAAAAGATGCCCCTGGTATGGTTTCGGCTCTCCATTCTTCCCAAGCAGAAAAGTCTGCGGGCACTTCGTGGAACCTCAAATACTCGCCAGCTAACCACACGACTCTCGAACGCAAATCTTCTTTCGCATCATCCTCCGCCCCAGAAATAAGGTACTCGGTGCAACGCAAGAACTCTGCTTCATACTTCGCTTGACCAGCGAGCGCTGGGAGACAGAGAAGATTGGCTGAAGCAAAATCCTTCCATTTCTCCTGCTCGGCGGAGGCGTCACTGGTGAAGAAGGTGGTACCAAAGACGCATTCGTGGACTAGTGCCTCGAAGGTCCCCTTCTGAATGGTTCCATTGTCATCGAGCGAGAGGTCAGGATGCGTTCTCCTTCCCCAGTATGCCCTCTTCTTTCGGACCCCGCCGTCAGCTTTACGCAAACGATCCTTTCCACCGGTGTCTAGTCCGCCTTCCTTGCCTTCGAGTTCTAACTCTGCGATCTCTTCTTGACTTGGCGGTACCAACACTGTCGGGAAAAGGATCCTTGATGGCGGCACTTCTGTCACCCGGAGGCTTGTAAAAGTACAGCTTAGAGCCTTTCAGCTCGAGCTTGAACGGTTTCCATCCCTTGGACAATGCCACGTGTGAATTCTGGAGGTTGTGCGGTACATCCGCGAGGCGATTTATTAACCCCTTGTGGTACACAATCTGTGAAGCCCGTTTGGTAATATCAGCTTCGGCGTTGTCGTCGGTTTCAGATTCAAAAGTGGTGTTAGGGGATAAGAGTGCATTCGAACGCGACCCAGTCGTACCAGGTACCGAGGAAGAGCCGGGTTCTGGCTGTATTGACCTTGAGTGGGCGCCGAAACCAAAAGGAAATGCGCCCTTTCCATCGAGCTCGCCCGAACCTTTACGTTTCGGGCTGGGGGGAAATCTAGGGGAAGCCAATTTAGATGATAATTTAGGAGTGAAGGAATGAGAGCGCGTATGGACGTGTGAAGGAGGGGATTGTCTGGAAGGAGCGGTAGATTCTTCGCCATTAGGCGCGGAAACAGAAATGGTTACAGGCGACAGAATGGGGGCGCTGGAAGGCGATTGTTCCGGAGGAACACTGGTGATGATGGTAGGGAAAGGTTGACGTCCTGTCTGACTGCTTGCGACATGCTGCTGTGGCTGCTGTTGCTCAGTCCTGCCACCGCCGCTGCTCCTGTTGCGATACTGGGCGACCTTGTCCTGAAATACTGCGCTGACAGGAGACTCAACGACGGCAGACATGCTCCCCAGGTCGTCAGCAGACCGCGACCATGCTTTTCGAGACATACTCCGCAAGTCGCCGAGACCGGTGGAGGAGGCGATGGGGGTAGACGGCGAGCTTGGAGGGTGAAAGGGGGAAATGTCGAGTGAATTCGGCGGTCGTGTCGAAAGATCTAGCACAGACCTAAGGCGGTAAGAACGTGTTAACGGCGACCAAATGAATAGTGATAGGCAACTCACCTGGCGTTAGAACCAGCATACCCGTCCAATATCGGTCTCGGATCTGTTGGGTGCGAAATTTTGTGCTTCCTGGCCGACGAATTGCTCGCCCTGGGCTCCGTTGAGCTACCAGAGCTAGATTTTGGTGAGGAAACGCTACGGCCGAACCATTTAGAAGGCTTGGAAAGGAACTGAGTGATGCCTGCAGTAGGCGAATTGGAACGAAGGGAAGTAGGACCGTTCGGTGAGGACGAATCCTGGGGACTCAATGTATTGGAAGACGGAGCACCGCGTCGTGGCATTCGGCCGGTAAAGAAGAGATTTTTCTGTGTCTGTAGGCGTCGTCTCTAGTCGTTCTTGTCGTCCTGCAGCAAGGGAAATCAAAGTCAGGCCACGACATCGAGAAATAGCAAAAGTCGCGCACCAGCAGCGCCTGTTCGTACTTAGTATCGATATTTCCTGACTGTTGCACTGTAGTTGAACGAAATGTGCATGGAAGTAATAAAGCAAGACGCGTACGGACGTTGTCGACGGTGGAAGAGTTGCGTTTGTTTGCCTCCCCTTTGATGCCAAATTGAAATTATGCCTTTCTTGGCCTTCTACTCCCGCGATAAGTAACCGTTACTTATCACCTATCTTAGAACGCCGTGAATGCTCGGATATAAAAATTCCAGGGGAATTCTAGTGAAAACCAACGGAGGGTACAGTTCCGGATGCATTTTTTTGTGATCCAAAATTTTGGGCACATTCAAGCGCAAGCCTGTTAGTCTAGAGAACAATGTTTTTCTGCTCAAATCTGTGTATCTGTATTCCAAATGGCAGAAGCCATTCTTCTGTCTTCTCCGTCAGTTGATGGTGATTTTAGATTTAAGAGCATATGCAAATCTTAACGGCCTATTATCCCCTTCCTTGATTCACCCCAAAATGCTCCTGCTCGGAATGGCAATATCCAATGATACACGTACTCTTGAAACTGGTTCTGTTGAGGGAGGTTTTACTTCCTCAGCTCCATTGAAATGAGCAGACAACCGGTCTTCTCCCAGTCATCTCACAGTCTAGTTTAGTCAAAATTTAGAGGGTAATACAGTCGAAGGTCACCACGGTATACAATTCTTTATTTATACGAAGGTGGGTCAAAGAGTAAATGTGGATCATCACAGGAATAAAACGGTAAACATCGATTTGAGCTCTCCCAACGCTCAATGGATCTGAAGAGAATTTGATTACAGCGAACGGAGAGCTCAAAAAGCGGTGCATCCAAGAAGTAAAGTAAGGATCGGATGCCGCAGTCGAGTAAGAGCATGGAAACGTAAAAAAAGGACATCGTGAGCACATGCTTTACGAAGAGAACCGATAATACTCTTCCCGGTACCCGGAATTGAGACGATTGGACAACGAACCATAGGAAAGGAATTTTCATTGGTCGGATATATAAAACCCGCAAGAGACTTCGTTCGGTTTACACTTGCGAGAATTTTAATAGCCGGAGAGGCACTATTCGGTATGCCTGCTCTTCGTGTCGGCCCCGAATCGAAGCAGTGCGACCGTCCCTGAGGTCTGAGATCGTATAGATCGTATGTCTGCACCTGTCTACTGACAAAATGAACTGCAATGTGTCACTGGGAACGGACACGTACCATCATTAAAGATCGACAAGTCTGCTTCTCGAGCCTCCTGGAATTACTATTGGCCCGTTGACCTCGAAAGTGGTCATTATTGGGCGCGAAAGGTTTATGCGGATATCTGATAACGCAGTCAGGTATGTTCAGGGCAGCCAGGGTAAGCATTACTTATTCACCGGGGAATAGAAAAAGAGTCAACAGATCTGAGATCATTATCGGAGAAGTTGTTATCAGTATATTGGAAACTGGAGCTCACTGCCTGGGCTCTGGACCGTGGTCGGCGTTCGCCGCTATCTTCACGTAGGTTATGGGTCCATATGGGTGTAATGTTCCGTAGTTCACAATGGCGTCTTTCTGCGCAGGTCCTATACACAAATTACAGCATCTAACCGTTGGTTTTCTGGTAGATATACCAAGAATACAGGCCTGACCGTTCATCGATTTCTTGAAGTCGGACTCATGTATAAGATCACTCAAGCAGCAGGCTGGGCGCTACAAGGTACCAAGGTCATCCGCTGTCCATCTAGGTATAAGAATAAATCAATTGAAAGTCGGCATGTAATGTGGCGGCGATTTTCCATAACGTATCGTGATCGTAGGCCACGATCACTGTAAGGCGAAGTAAGCTAGAGTCCACCGTTTCTGAGAGAAACTCGCCCGTTTCGTTGTCCTGTCACAGTTCCATGAACCGAATCTACGGAATGCAGACGTTGCGAACAATGTCAGTTATGCACTGATGACTGAATAGTCGGCAATGCACCTCTTTGAGAGGCAGACGATGTGTGAGGTCGCAAGTGACGTTATACAAGGGGGTCACTAGCCTGCATGATATAACATATGAGCGAGAGACTCGGTGTATCAGCGTACCATCAGCTTAGCGCCCAAGATAAACATGCTGCGATAGTGAAATGCTTGTCGCCATATCATCTGCACAAGAGTATTCATGAACTCCTGTAGCGAAGAGAATCCTGATTAGCGTGGCTCTCGGATTATTACACATACAGTGACCCACCATAATACGAACCAAACGAAAGCACAAATTCAAAGCTATATGAGCAGTCATCAATAGATACATCATTCTTCACCACACAATAGCGGGCATCGAATCAAGCCTTTCTCACAGGCGATCGACGAGGCAAATTGGGTACATCCCAGGCCATGCGCATTTGGGGCGACCATTTAAACTCTTGGTTGCCGGTCCTCCAAGGTTATTATCGAAGTGTTCCGTACCAACGAATCAGAACGATGTTACGGAGCTACCGTCAAAGGTAGCGATCCCTGGCCTTCGACCACAGCACAGCTTGTCGATCCATACGAGGATTCAGGATTCGACATGGTTTCGGTCGGGCGTTAAGGGCGGGACTCCGCTTGAGCAGATACTTCCGGTCACTCCGTACCATCTGATGTTCGTGAGAAACTCGTTGTCTGGTATATACCGTGGCAGTGGTAAGAATTCCAGTAGCGAGTAAATCAATGTGAGCTGATATACGGAGTCATACTGTTCGATGCAAAATCTTTAGGGGAGGATAAGATTTTGAAGAACCTTACGATGGGTCTTCTTGGTCCATGACCAGGTAAAATAAAAGGAAAAGTTGGAGCCTTGGAACGATTGTGTGCCGTCCGTTCGTTGGTGACTATGGTTTTAAGAAGAGACGCAATTTAGTATGACGAGGGTAACGACCTCATTAATGGTCACTATTTACTATATGTGAAGCCTGCAAGCTACCACGCCTGATGGTGAAACGGTTATCATGCTTGCCTTCCAAGCAAGCGGTAGGGGTTCGACTCCCCTTCGGCGTACTGTGCTACTTCAGTGAATCATTTATTTGTTTGCTTGTGTGTCAAGCGGAGTTTTGAGCACGAAACCTTAGTGTGGTGACTTACCCTTTTTAGCCCCAAGGGAGTGTTTTGATACTGTAAGTAACAGTAACTTACTTACGGTCGGCGGGATGACTCCGGTTGATTCTTGCACAATAACGCAGTCATGCCACCATCCACGTATGGCACTGTCACATCAGTTCGCGTGTTCCGCATAATTTTGGACCTCGCGACAGCGCGAGGGTACCCTACACGAGCATAGACCTCAACGTGATTGCAGGGTGCGTCCAGATTTCATATGATTAACAACAACCTGATTACTTCTGGCGTACTAGCCATCTTTCGCTGACATGGACTGCTACGGAACCCTATTCCATTCATCTGAATCAATCTTAGAAGAGTTACCGCACGCGTCTGGTTTGCAGCTTCAGATTCTGCAAACCAGACGCGTTGACAAGGTCTCTTCATATTTTTCTACGCAGGACTTCAGTAAACAGTGAGAAAAGATGAGTTAGAACGCACCGGCACTTGCTTCCAAGTTGTTCCTTGAGAACGGTTCGCAATCTAGATCATCCTTCTCCTCTTCCATGTCCCGAACAGCGTCGTCTCGCACACTGGGAAGACTTCGATGGGTCGTACTTTATTCTATACGGCCCCAAGTTCCACGTCTTTGACATCCTGCCTTGTCGGCCGGGACCTCTCGAAGCTAACTGATACAATACTCGACTTGAAGGGATATTTCGCGTCGCCAGCAGAGATAAAAGATATTATTACGGGTGTTTTCCTCAGAATACACATATCGAGACGATGGAGGAGCTCAAGTAGTGCCGGTCGGAGTTGCAGCTCTTACATTAAACGTCAACTTTCATCAAGCAGTACTTGCATCGACTGGGTAAGACAGTTAAACTGCCCATGAAGACCACGAAAGCCTGGCGATGCAGGAGCCGGTGGCAAACATCAAAGGAAATCACGAGTGCAAACAGCAGTGGCATGCCGGGATATTCTGTGTTACAGACACCCTAGGCTTCTGAGACCGGGAGCAGGACAGAGCCCATGGTTAATGGTGGCGGTGGGACCGCGGTAGTTGTGGAGGGAAGCTCAGGAAATTGTGGCATGATTGTCATGATTGTCCACAAAATCCCAAAATCAACCGGAGTCGTCCCGCCGACGGTAACTTACTAGAACTTTCAACTTACCGTTACTTACCTATCACGTGCACACTTACATGACTGGCGCGCGGAAGTTCGCGTCCGCCGCCTTTAGACATTTTCTTTATAAAGGGACACCGGCTACTTATGTAAAAAGATATGAAGAATCTGATACGACACATAAATGGGAGTCCTACCGCTCAAGTATGTAGCGGCGCGTGAAAGAAGAAGAATACCCACTTGTAATCAAGGGCGGGACCGGGCTGTTCAACTCTGCCTGGCCATTCGTGGTAGCGACAACAGTCAGGTGCAGGTAGGTTACATACAGGTGCCGGCAACCACATTCAAACGTATGTCTTTCCGCGCTTCTGTCTTGAACCTCAAGACAAGAACTCAAATGGTCAGGACTCCTACGCTGTCACCTGTGTGAAAAGTTCGTTAAACCAAGACAGGTAACAGTGATACACTAGGGTTGCACTATGGAATGAATAAAAAACGGTCACCTCGGCTGGCTCTGACTAGAACTGGCTCGCCTTCGAGCTTGAAATTGCGGAGTCCGGATGATGTTAGACGGTCGTTGTCGTCGAGGAAATCTTAATGACCGGGATTGTATGCAAAGTACGATTATCCCATGATAAGGACAATAGATCACGCCAATATCCGTCGGGTAAAAAATGTGCTGTAATGGTTGTTATTTGCTTTGCTTCTATGGCATCTGAAAGTGACTTGAACCAGTGCTTTGCAGCCTAGGATATCCAGATGAGCGAAAGATGACCAATCGATAAAAATGAGGCGTACAGCACGCGGCGTGTTCGCCGAGTCCTCTATGTGCGAAATCTCGGGGGAGTTCCTTACTTCGCTATGATACATGTCTAGACTGCGAACGGGTGGCGGAAGAGCGTGGGCGAGCAGTCTTAGCAGGAATTAGTATCCCGTCTTCCTGCATTTAAGTGGACACGAATACTTGGCGTGGCTCATAGTTAACTAACACTAGTGGCGCGCTCATCCGTACTGACTCTTACATGATCACGAATACTGTTCGATTTCGACCGTTAATTCACGTAACACGTAACGGGACCCTGTGAAGTGAAGCTCCCGGTAATTCGTAACGCATAACAAGCCCTTCTGAGAGGTAGTATCGGCCCAATTTGGTAATTTTTGGCAGCCAGCTGTCCCCGGAGACACTATATATGGCAATTTTCTATTATATTTTGGTGAATGAAGCTATGAGTATGACAATTTTGCCATAAAGCATAATGCGTAACACCCCATGAAGCTACGGTCGAAATCGAACAGTAGCAAACTATCACTTTATTTTCCGACGGCTTTTTACATGCACAAGCATTCGCAATATTCGCAATCCTAGACTTTCTTCATCTACCATGCACGTTATCACCATATCCACAGTCTGCAAAGCAAATAACGACGAACCTGCTGCTGTTCAAAAACAGACCGCATTCTTTGGGCCCTCGGTCTTGCACCCGAACGGACTAGCACAGTCGGCGAACAAGACGAACTCTTCGCCATTGCAGATAAAAATGTAGGCATTGCCGCCGTTGACGCTGGCGGTGTTCGCGCAGCCGACGTCGCCTGTGAACGCCAGATTGAGAACCGGATAACTGGCCACAGACGATGATGATACATACCGGCCCCATCAGGTGTGCACGGCTCGCCTACGTCCTGCGCCATCGCAGCTCCGGCGAAGAACGAGAATGCAAGGATGGCTGCGGTGGAGAATTGCATGATGAAGGTATGCAGGGGATAACTGAGTAGCAGCGGATTCGATGCTGGGAGAATGTACAAAAACTTCGACGTTTTTATACTTCAAGAAAATCAGTATAACAATAGCACTCCACTCCCGACACCCAATGATTCCGGCCCGAAGGAATTTTGACGGAAATGGTTTGTGGAGCTGAAAAAGTTTCCTGAGACGCGTTGCCATCTGTCGGAAATTAGATTTTGGCAGGGAGAATTCTGTTTTCGACCGGATGGAAATTGTATAAAGAAATTCTTTCAGTGCTACTACACATTTCCTTCATGCAGAAACTCATGCATCACAGGAGTGCTCGCCTTCGTGAGAAGTCCTCCGGGTGCTGCGGAGGATTTCGAATAGATGGGGATTCGAGAAGCATGTGGGTGATTAAATAATTCAGCGAGGCGCAGGATGGAATTAAAATAGCAAGTTCAACCTCCGGAATCACGTTTCAGATATTTATCTCTCGTCAGAACCATAAGTCGTCGACTTGTGCTCCAACGGCTTGGGTCCCGCGCCACCTATGTATGAAGCGGCATGCCATCAGCCTGCGCACCCTGATACGTGCGTATATTGCAAGTTGAATGAAACGTTGTCCGCCGCTCACTCGATTTCGAGGCTGTTGGCGTGGAATAAAAGCAACACAACGCTGCCCACAGGCGCTGCACTATTCAGTGGCCTGTGGTTCTTTTCATTCAAAAAAAGTTTGTTTCAACACTTGAACAACTGGGAAACTTATCGCACATTGCACTGTAAGTAGTGGGGCTACTCCAACGTGTTATACCACTACCACTACCCCCGAACTTGATCACTTTGACCAGGCTGACTGCGTGTCGTGCGGCATGCCGTGAGCCCCTGCGCATTATCCGTAAATTACGAGGAAAGAAAGGTAATCCCCCGCTCACTTGATGAAGCGGTGAGCCATCGCAGGGCGTGGTAGATCCGAGTCCTGAAAATGGAGTGGGCGGCACAGGATGCATTGAATGGTACAACAAGAGCGTTACTGGGCTTGTACCGACCAACTGATAAAATTTACGACGATCGTGACAAGGTGAAGAAAACTCCGGCGTAAACGAAAAGAAGGAGCGGGATTCCCTGCTCTTCGGAGAGGTTTGCAGTTAACAGATGTCAAGGCGTCATTATGCTTAGAAATTCAATTTAATTGAATGATGGTCTGATGATACACCTCGAGTCTGGGCAACGACGGTGATGATGTCCAAGGAAACGACCAGGAATACATTCAAGTTTCATGACGGTGAGGGTGAGGAGTTGAATGGCCTTGAAAATGACAAATGGTAACCAAGTAACAGGCCGAACACCAGTGTGCGACGGAGAAGGCTGTTCAGAGGCGTAATATCTGTGATTCAAGTCAGTCAGCAGACTAAAATGAGTGAGAAGCCACATACCGTCATGGCCTCAGATGGCCAGTCCTCCCACAAAGGTCCAGCCAACATAGCCCATTCACCGCCACCAACTTGCCCATCTCTGCCATCACCCACTGATACTTCTGCAAGGCATCCCTTGTTGGACACTAGGAGGGACGCTGATCCAGTTAATAGCACCAGTCATGGCGATAGTCCATGGAAGAAAAAGCGGCCGAGAATGTCGGTCCTCTCTGACTATATCCGCGGTCGTTGAGTCCAGATCGAGGAACAAGATTGAAGAAACGGCAATGAGGTGTACAGAGAACAGAGAGGTGTGAAACCGTTTTGGCGAGAGCTATCCTAGTGACCAGAGATACAGCAGCTGTAAAAAATGTTAATCTCATCACGAGTGTACACATCTTTGACACATCTCAAGTACGCACCAAAACATTGGCGATGTGAATTGTGTTCAGCGTCGAGCGCGAAGAAGAAAAAGGGTTGGTCCCACGGGGTAATACCGTATTATTCGTGGTCTGGATATTGTTGGACAAGTGAGATGTGAAGGCAATTTTAAGAGACAGCCGAGGAAGAGCAATTGATGCTCGAAAAAGAACGAAAGATGGAAAGATGCTACGATTGGCCGACTACGTTACATAAGCAACTCAGCTAGGTACGGGTACACTAACTCGTCGGCTCTTTGTAGGTAAAGTAAAATAA